CCATGCCATGCTTGTTTTAATAATTACATGGGCAAAGAAACAAAGCTAGAAACAAATTCTAAGTTCTTAAAGAACTGTTTGTTAGAAATAAGGGATAATTTCTTTGTCTCTAGCAGGCTAAAAAATTTCACCTGTGTGAAATAATTGCATTCAATTGAAATAATTTACATTTCTTCTGATGACCAGAAAAATAAAGAGATCAGAGAAAAGTTCCCATTTGCGTGCTGAGCTTACCATCCTTCTTTGCAAATGAACTACTATCAAGATAAATAACTGCCTGATTATCTCCAAAGCTTAACTAGGAACCTTTAAAAGCAATCCAGGATCTCATCTGATGTGATGCTCGTGCTGGAATAAAATCTTGTGTCAGAAACATCATTACAGAGTTCCCATGCAGTCTGAGCCACAGCTGTCAATCAACAGCAGCAATGCCACATTTCCTCTCACCTGTGTGAAATCAGATGCACCCAGATTTCTTATGGCCCTGATGTAACCCAAACCTGCAATGCTGGGTAATGCTGTAACACTTTTCTGAGGCTGAGTTGGGGAAATAAATTTCCCCTAACTGTGGTTACTGAATTTGGGAAGATATATTTGCATCATGGAGAAAGATGGAAGGCACTTCTAGAACATGTTTCTGACTTAGTGGAGAGATGTGTGCAGATACGTTTTCACATTCCTTTTAAAAAGCCACAATAATAAAAGAGAATAAATATTCCCAATAATGAAAGCAAAAACTCTCTTACCTTTAACACCTGAGAGCAACACTTGATAAACGTTTCAAGGTCAGCCACATGCTCCACTACTTCAGAAGCTACAATTACATCAAAGGTTTCCATAGACTCTTCCACAATCTCCTCCAGTGAACTGGACTTGTACTGTATTCTCTTGGCCAGGACCGGATCAAATGACTTGTGCTGATCTGCTGTTCTAATGTTGTCCTCCACAGGATCAATTCCAGTAACTGAAGCTCCCAGTCTACCTAAAGGCTAATAAAAAAGAGTGTAATTTATTCTCTGCACAAAAACAATTTACTTAAAGGTTTCTGAAACTTTTAAAGCATCACCACAAGACAAACAACAGTAAATGATGATCCGGCAGTTTTATTTTAAATGTTTATTAAAGCAAAAACACCCTTAGATTTTGGAAAAGTGGTGTTAATTTTCTTAGGAAATTATATAGTGGTCTATACACACACATCTAAATTGTCTTTTATAATAATTTGTTCTCAATTCATTTTGTTACACCAAATAAAGATTTCTTCCACTACTTCTCTCTGATACAGAACAAAAAAAGGGGGAAAATCAACACAGTAATTAAAGGGGGGGAAACAATGCCATATTTAATTACTGTCATTACTTTCTTCAACATCCACCTGTAATGGTAAATCCTCATATCTTTTTAATGGTTACTTAATATATGATTATCTCTGGGACTTTCTCACTGCTGAGAACTAAACACTGATGTTTACTAGGATAGCATCAGCCTTGGCTGTCACTCAGGTTTCTCCAGTGTCTTCTTACTCCAAGGTTAGCACCTTAGTCATCACCTCTTCTGAAACTGAAACAGTCTGTAGAACATGACCACATGTATGATATTCCAACCTGAAATTCACCAGTTGTTCAGCCTGAGAAGGTGATGCAGCACACCAGTTTTGCCAGCATTGTTGGATAGACCCCTCTCACAAGACTACAAGATTTTGCTCAAAAGAGGATAAAAAACCAAGAAAAAGAACATGGGAGAGATTGAGGTCCCTTTGTAACACCTCACTTCAGATGCTGATGATGTTCCCAGATAAGTCAGCCAGATCTGTAACTCTAAGTTCACAAACCATCCCTAGTCTATTGATGGGACACAGCACTGTCAGAGCCTGTGTGGACAGCATTCCATCACAAACAGTAACTTCTGAGTCCCAGGTTTGTGCAGACTTCTCTGGAAGCCACTGTAACATCAGCCCCTTTACCACAGCAATCTCGACTGACACAGGAGAGGTATGATTTGGGTGCTTGATGTTATTCCATGCATTCCCCATGAGAGTAAATCAAAGGTGAGAATCCCCATCCCCATGTAAAACACTGAAGATAAGCTGTTCAAATAAATGAATGTGTAAGAACAAGTATATAACAAAAATTGCTTCTTTGGTAATGAGGATGTAATGATTTCAAGTATTCCTGCCTAGACTTGTAAAGTAAAAAAAGAAAAATAAAGGAAGAAATATCCATGGACCTTTTTATCATTCTTCCCCTCTCCTCTACTTTACAGTGCTTGAAATCTTATTTTCCTGATTTAGAATCTCAGAATTTTAGAATTTCTCCTTACCAACTGCCTCATTCTCTGTAAAACCACCACACTATGCTAACCAAATACTCTGGGTTTTTTGGTATGAGTGCACTGCATTCTATTCAGTAACTAACATATCATAGAAGAGAAAAAGTCCTCCTTGGAGGATTAGAAATTAAGCAGTGTAATTTGTACTATTCAAATACCTTGCATGGTTTTTAACAAGAAAACACAGAGCTCACTGTTTCTTACCTCACTCAGCAGCCCTCCACCACAGCCCACGTCAAGAATTTTGATTCCAGAAAGTGGATTTCCCAGATGATAATTACTACTCATGCTCAACAGAGTATCTCTAAAAGAAAAGGGATGTGATTAAGGTTGAACCCACAAGGTGCTTCAATAGATCCTGTAGTTATCTTAAGTACCAGTAATTGATGCTTTTTTACAGTATTTTCTGAGGTCATACAGAAATAGTACATCTAAAAAAAAAAAAAATCGGTCTTCAAAAACCATACCTAATAAATGGAACTCTAATATCATTCATAGAATGAAGGGCTGCATATTCTCCTTCTTCATCCCACCACTTATGTGCAAGGAGCTGGAATTTTTTCATTTCTTTTGAATCTACTGATGAGTGTGAAGTGCTGAAAGGTCTCTTCACAGTGAACCTAAATAATGAAAGCTGAACATCATTAAACCAATACTAATATTTCATGTCAGCTGAAAGACAGGAAAAACAAATATTGTATGGGAAAATGTGCAGAGGTAAAACTCATCCTTCTTTAGAGATTTGAGTTACATTCGTTTAGTAGCATACAGATATTGTACACTGTATGGGTAACATATCTTCCCAAACAGATGGCTGCATGCCTGTAATTTTTAAGTTGGCAATCAGTAAATTAAGAACAGGCCACATCAAACATTCAAACCTGTGAGATATAAAAATTAGTCCAGGTGACACTGTCACAAAGTCATGAAGTCAAATTGTTACAAAAAAGGGTAGCCCTCATCACACAGTGTTATTTTAGATACAATACTTACATGTTGCTTTTCATTTCAGTCAGAGAAGCAGGCAAGGTACTACTGGATTTCATTTGTCTTTTCCTGTTGCAGTCCTGAAGGATATGTCTCAGACCTGTCTGAAAAGACAGATCAGCTTGGCCATCTGCATAAATAAAAGACATCCAAATGGAAAACATCAGCTTTACAAGAAGTCAGAGACAAAACACCTAGTTGTAAGGGTGCTGCTCTAGCAGAATACTAACCAAGCAAATCTTTGCACATTTGTAGTTACAGAATTGGGTATTAAATAAAAGAAAGTATGCTAGTTCACCACCCCTGTACTCCTCAAATTATGTACAATAATTTGTATATAATTTTCATGTTCAGAGACTGAATGGAAAAGAGCTTTTTATGCAACTGAAATGTTCCAGTTAGTGTGAATTTCCCCAACATGTCTACACACACACACACACACACACACACACACACACACACACACACACACACACACTCAGCAGTGCTGGGTTTATTATGTGTTGGGATGAGACATACACAGCTGCACACTCATTTTGCATGGTACAAACCAGTAAGGAAACCTAAGCAAAAACCCTTAGGGACGGTGCACAGACAGGCCAGGGACAACACCCTGCAATTGCTCCCCTCTCCTGCTCAGCCGAGGCAGGGCTCTCCCTAGCACGGCGAACACTCGCTCACACCCCGCTGCTGCCTGGTCACCGACAGCCCCCGAATCTCAGCAATGCCTCAGTGTACGCAGCGCAAACCACCCCCTGAAGACGATTTTAGGCCGCAGTGAGTGATGGAGCGATCCAGACACCTCCGGACTGCAAAGGAGGCGGCAGGGGCACACCACCTTCCGACGGGCCGGCGCTGAGCGGGCCGGGAATGCCGCGGACGTGCCCGGGGCCGCCGCCGGCCGGAGGTGTGCGGGTCCCGGCTGAGGGAGCCGGCGAAGCGCAGCCCCGCCCGCCGCCCGGGCCCTGCCGCCCGCTCCCCGCTCACCGCCCGCAGCCCCCGGCAGCGCGGCCGCCGCCCGCCGGCGCCGCAGGGCGCGGCCGAGCGCTCGGGCCGCCCCGCCGCCCCGCATGGCCGCCGCCGCCGCGCTCGCCCCGCCCCGGTCCGCGGCCGGCGCTGCCGGCTGCCTCGCCGGGCGGGCGCCGGGAAGGTTCCGCTCGGCGCTGGGGCCGGTGCGAATGCCAGTCCCTACGGTGGCACTTGTCGCCAGGGCTGCATCTGGAGCAACTCTGCATAAATGTGTGCCCCGTCATTCCCTTGTCTTGGAACACGGAAAGAGCCGCAAGCAGAGGCTCGTTCGGACGGCACAGCGAGGAGCCCACGGCTTTCCGTTCCGTTCATTACCTAGAAGCACACCGGGCTTGCAGGGCACGGCAAGAAGAGTTCTCGCGCCGGGGCAGGCTCAGAGGGAAGCGGTCCCAGCAGCCGGCACTGCGGCCTGGCCAGAACCTCTGGGCCCAGCACGGCCGGGCCCGGGGCAGCTCCTCATGGGCACCACGCTGCTGCCTCTCGGAGCGGCTGCCGTGCCACGGTTTGCGGGTGAAGGCCAGGCTGTGGCCGGGAACGAGAAGGGCTTCTGCCTTCCCTGCTCTCTAGCAGGCACTGCTGCCCAGGGCCCCGAACTGAGGTCAGCAGCCCTGGCAGTTCAGGGCTGATACACACAAATAGAAAATAATTGAGCCAGGTTTTGTAAAGATTCGTTTTCTGACGCTTTATTGAGCTGCAGGTCCAACAAGAACGCGCAGTGAAAACCAAAGCTGTCTGGAAGGCAGCAGCGCAGAGCAAGGCAAAGGTAAGCCATGAAAGCAGAGCTGGCAGCGCTCCCGTGCCCGCCAGGCAGATGATCAGAGGCCGGGTTCCCTGACTGTGCAGAGGCTGGCATCCGCCTGCACAACGCCAAGGGCAGCAGCATCCTCCAGGCTGCAGGACATTTTGAGTAGTATAACCAGTCCTGGCTTGACTTTCCTCTAGTGCCAGCCTGCTTTCTCTACTGACCTTGCTTGGTACTACAAGCCTCACTGCTTGAAATCTGCCTGTTTACAGGTCTCCTGTAAATACAGTATAATTCATGTAGCAGTTAAAGTCTGGATTATTTTCTTTTCATAGCTAAATAAGGACTGATGAAAGGGCTCAAAAAAGCTTGTCTGGACAGCAATTAAACATATGGCAAACCTGCTTAGTATGTACTTGCCTCACTTTTCTACTCACCTGCTTTCTATCCAACAAAGCTCACAGTGCACTGGAGTTACGAGTCATTAATAACACCTCAGAGCTACTGAAAAAAAACAGAGCTCCAACACATCCTTTATGGTTAGTCTCCTTAAGAGACAAAACTAAGCCTTCCTTCAAAGCATGCATCCACATATTATTCAATTTTTTTACTTGTCATTAATTTAGCAAAACAAATGCAAAATCTGAGCAGGAGAGCCAAACCTTATGTTACCATTGCCTTTATATTTGTGATTTTAGAATTGCTTACAAGCAAGTAAACACGTGCACACTTGGCCATGTATTCTACTTAACAGAACAAGCTTGTTTGAAACTAGAAGTAGCTATTCTATGAGACAGAGCCTCAAATACAGAACAGTTTTTGTTATTGTGCCATATTTCAAAACACATGTAGTTGCTCAATCTTTCAAGTCAGAATATTTACTCAACTACTCTTTTTTGGCCTATCCATGGCCACAGCTAATTCTTGTTCTTACACAGTGTAGCGAGCACCTTGGGGCACATACAGACATTGGCTTGGTTGTATTCACCTTAAAAACAATTCGCATGGAAATCATTATTCATTTGATTTCACACCACCCTCATTTATTAAAAAAAGTTTTCAAGGGAAATGTCTCCAAATGTCACGTTGCTGCATGACATTCAAAATCCTGTGTATTGCTTTCCTGTAGTGCATTGAAATGTTTTTGCAGCATTCATTTTAAAACAATACATTCCCATTTTTGTTGGTATTCGCACATTTTAGGATAACTTCAGATGTATGGAATTAAGAGAGTGGTTGTTATTCTAGCCTCTTCTGGTGAAAGACATTCCTAAAGGAGAGTTTCTAAAGCCCAAAGAAGTTTAATGTATGTGATGCTGACAATAATACCGATGTGTATTTAATAACTGAGTGATGAGTAGGCAGTTATAGTAAGATTTCTGAAACAGTTAAATACAGAGATCGTATGCTCTTTTTATTGGCATACAGTCACTACCCATAGAAGTGCATATGTGTCAAAAAATAATTTTCATATTTACAGGAAGTGACAGAATTCCAGTTGTTGGCAAAGTATATAAAGCTTTTCATACACAATCTTTTTTTTATTATTAGACAGAGAATATAAAATCTGAACTGAAAATCAAATTCAATGCATCCTGGAAACTGTATTCCTCAACAGCTTTTCTTAAGCTTATTTCTAGTTTCTTTCTGTCTCTCACAAGACATCCTTCTAGGACATCTGAACTGTTATGCAACCTATTTTCAAAATATTCCTCACTCTTACCCAGAGCAAAGAGTGTAGTGAGATTGGATCAACACATCATTATTTATATTCCTACCAATGCAAGTAAAGTTGTGTGATGTAAATTATGCCTTATTTTGCTAATAAATATGACTGCTTACTCTATATTAAAGATATAATTGGGGGGGGCGGTGTTATGATTTACAACTGATTATTTATCTGTAACAGTGTTTTGATAAACATGCACATATTCACTAGCAATTAGCTTGCTTATTAAACACATAAAATGTATTTCTTTGCCCTGAAGCAGTTTATTTCTGCGTATTATTTATGAAAATACAGTAGCTGAATTTTGACTTTGCTAAGTGGATTTATCTGTTCATGAAGACATGCTTTCCAAGTTGCCTGTACTAGTACCATTTTTTCTTAGAAGATACAGCCAATCAAAGAGAACTTACTTCGATGTTAAGACTTTTACCTTTTTCACAGATCTCTCAATGAATTTATGTTCTTCTGTAAGTCATTGGCCTAGAGTTGGGTATTGTTGGTTTGGTTTTTAGCTTATATTATTTCACACTCTTGTTTCTAACAGCAATAGTCAATTTCCTTAAGGAGGTAGTCAGTGACCTCTTTCACTTTATGGTAATATTAAAATCAAAAATTTAGTGGTATTGCTGATACATCAGTGTTTCAGCTTTACATGAGTCATAATTCTTGAGACACTAAGGACCTACCTTTAACATTCAGTACGCATTTAATGCATGTGCCAAAACGTAAAGTTAACCTATTGTCAGTTTTTCAGTGTGTACTGAATGACGTTTATAAACATGCTCCATAAAAACATAGAAAATTCTGAGATGTGTGTAATATCCCTGAACATCCAAAGATCTCTCTGAAAACTGGGTGAGGAATATAGTTCCAGAGCTTAACACTGCCACAAGAGATCAGTTAATTGCACATATTCCTAATGGGGTTCAGTCTGTTTTAAGTATAGCTTGTATTACAGTGACCCATATTTTACACACACAGCATATAGTACCAGCTAGACCAAAAAAAGGGTTATTAAAAAATCTATTACACATATCTAAAGAAAAATAAGATGTCTTTTCTCTGTTCTTCCACACCCCAATAAAGTAATCTTATCATGTCCACGGATTACAAGTGTTTCACGTTAAATCTTTTTCAAGTACTTTAAAAATCTGTTATACCAAAAAAGCTGCCTTTTTCTTTTTTTTTAAGTACTTTCTACCATTTACCACAAAATTCAGGTGCAAGAATTTTAAACAAAAAATGAACTAAAGAGCTTTATTGACATCACAGTACATTCAATAGTAATTTTAAGAACATTACAGCTGAAAGAGAATGGCCTGTTTTATAGTCTTAATAAGCACTACCGTTCTTGAAAAAATGTAATACAAAGAAATCCTATTATTCTGAGCAGCATTTGGAAAAAATACACCTATTTACAAATAAAAAAAAGGATTCTGGTTTCACCTACATAGCCACAATGTGCCTCTATAATGAGACAAGCCTTTTATAACTCATGGAATTTTTAAACATCATAGCACTGGTGCCATAAATTCCTCAGCGTTTACGACGAAGAGGAGTTGTTGATCTGAAAAATAAAGGAAAAGGGGGGGGGGGAAAGTTAATTGGAAAAAATAAAAGACCCCCAAACCCACACACACTTTAGGCTTAGTAATTAATAGTTTTAAAAGATTTTCCAAAGTTACTTTTGCCTAAGACAAAAAGTTTAATAAATACCATACTTTATTAAAAAGGTTCATATGCCGTACACATGAAGACGAATATAAAAAACTTTTTAAAAGTCAAACAAAATACTTAAAAAGTATACTACCTTGATCGTGACTTAGACTTGTGTTTGCGGCTTGCCTTCTTACCAGACCTTTGAGATTTCTCCATGGAGCATGACCGAATATGCTTCGATTTCTTAGCCTTCTTTTCTTTACTGCTTCCTGGCGATTCAGAACTACTCCTTGCACTAGATTCAGAGCCTGATCGTTTTTTGCTATCTTTGGTAGTAATTTTTTTACTTTCTTGTTTGGAATCCTGTCTTATTATTTTCACACATATTGAATCACTGCGAGAGAAAGTTCTTTCACTGTCTCTTTTTCTTTTTAATCTACTGTCATCATGATTGCCAGTCTTACTTTCTTTTTCCTCTTTTTTGGGCTTATCTTTTCTTTTTTCCTGATCTCTCTCCCTTTCTCTGTTCTTTTTTTTGTCTTTATCTACACCTCCACCCTGCTCCTTTTTCCTTTCTTGATCTTTACCCTCACTTTTACGTTTGTGCCTATTTCCAGTAGGGCTTCTACGCTGGTCTTCAGCTTTACGTCTGTCTCTGCTCCTGCTGCGGCTCGCACGGTTGGCTCGCCGGTCTCTTGAGCGGCTGCCACTTCTACGTCTATCCCAGCTTCTCTCTCTCGAAGGACTCCGATTTCTCCGCCTCTCCCCCCTTTCAGCACTGTGATTTCTACTAGATCTTCTCCTTTCCCTTATTTTCTCCCTGCTTCTACTCCTCTCTCTCCTATTTCTGTGGGAGTAACTCCTGCTTCTACTGCGCCTAACTTTATGTGATGGTGTCCTACTGCGGCTGTGTCTCTTCTTCCTTTTGGGAGAGGAAGAACGTGAAGTGCTGCGACTACTACCTGAGCTAGTGCTATATGATGAACTGGATACTGTGCTGCTGCTGCTGCTGCTCCTGCTATTGCTGCTGCTGCTACCACTGCTAGAGCTTCTTGACCCACTCCTTCCTGTCCTCTCTTTACCCTCTTTCTTGAGTTCTACATCAGGTGTGATTGCATTTGGAGATCTCTTCTTTTCATGAACCATATCTGCTTCAATTTCTTTTGCCTCCTGTGATGCTAAGTTACTATTCTGTTCTTTGTTAATAAATTCATTCATCTCTTTCGAAACTTTTTCATTTTGTAGCTTTTCTTCTGAAAAAAAGAAGTACACAGAAAAAAAATTGCAATTAATTTGGAGCAATATGTCAGTAATTTCCACACCATTACAATGACAAAACCAAGTTTCCAAGCACCTCTCATAATACTTAAAATTAAAACGTTGCCACTATACCAACTACTTAACAAACTACGTTTTTTTTTCTTATAATTCTAGAAAAGTTGTCCTCTTAGTTTAGAAAAAGTGTAGAGCCCAGTCATTTTAGAAGTCTTGAGGTTATTATTTTATGTTTTAGTGGCTTAAGATGAAGTTCTAAAACAAATATCCTGGAACACTAGAACTCCCAAACTGATCTACACTCAAGATTTTTTTCCTTTTGCAACCTTTCTGCACACCTGATTCTCCCTTTCTCTTTCCTACAAGACTCCTCATCAGTATAGCAGGAAGTACTAATGCTTCCTGCCTTTCTCTGAGTCCCATTCATCTGGGTTTGAGGATTACCATCAGGTCTGAAGAAACTGTATTTCTCACATAGTGAGACCTTCAGAGCATTTCCCAGAAGTTTCCAAAATAAAAATTATTTTTATTCAACCTAGGATTCTTTGCATCACTGCCAACTTTATCTCCCCATTTTAAATTTAATCCAGAAAAAATAACTGACATACATTTTTTGCCTAAAAATGGCCTTTTGATGTGGGCTATCATTTCCTGAATTAATTTAGGGAATAAAACTGCATCTAGAAACCCAGCGTGGTCCAAATGGCAGCTAATAAATTTAACCCAGAAAACAATTCCTGCTGGTCCCCGAGTTATTAGGCAATACAGGAAGAAATGTTAGAAGATGCTGCATTGTCCATTAGAAATCTTCTGCCTTTCCAAAACACTGCTACAAATGAGACTCTGCCCTAGCATTCATTCTTCAATATTTTGGACGTACAGAATCAGCTGCTTTACACCCTAGTTTTGTATTTCTGCAAACGGTCCCATGGAGATGTCTCCACACTGACATCTGGTTTCCTGCACTAGGAAGAGAGGTCACAGGCCACACTCAGACACTCTCCATATAGCTATGCTTTTATGCATACATCTTGAAACACTCAAAGAGAGAGGACTATTTAGAAAACCAGAAGTTTAGCTAGTCCAGCATTTCATTAAGGGCTCCATATGTCTTATTTTCAGGACTTTAAATAAAAAGTTAAAGGAGGAAACCATCGATTTCTATCATAATAGCACTTTCTCCTCCAGCCTGTGAACCTGGTTCATGATTTCTTAACATTGCATCCATCTCTAGACAGCTCTTCAGCACTAGGAGGTATCTGTGCTACTATTTTGGCCTACATTATTTGTACAAAAGGACAAACCTTACCTTGTATGGAGAAGCAGAAGTAAATCACAGGGTTTTGGGTTTTTTAAATGTGAATTAAAAAAACATTATTTATAAATTTAGATTCATATTTTTTGCTTAAAATGTGTTTCTTTGCCATCAATTTACATACACTAAGTAGTCAAACTCCATTTACAGTGGCACAGTAAGAAGACTTCACAGGATTTACCTTCTAGCTGTTTTTCTAGTAGTAGTTGTTGTTCTCTCTCTTTTCTCCAAAACGCTTCCTGTTTTTGCCTTATTCTGTGTCGTAATTCCTCATCATCAGTATCAGATGATTCAGAGCCTCTGTCACTCCTCTCATCTTCACTGTCTCCTGATCCATAACCACCCAGTCCACCTGCGTGCATAAAGTCCAGTCTATCACGAGGAAAGATTAAGCTTTGTTCTTAATACTTCTGTGAGGCAAAGAGGAAGTAACATTGCCCTTCCTTCACTTCCTCGTCTCTGAAGAAGTCACTTTATTCTGGTAAGTGCCAGTGTTGTTTGCCAGTGTGTTCAAGGCCCCCGTATCTGCTTTGATAGTCACTGTCTGCTTCTACTCCTTCTGGAACAGCTTGTTTATTCTCAGCAAGCAATCACTGTGACCATGGTACATTTTTCCATTGTATGGAAAGGCAAGAAAGCTCCCTGTGGAGACTGTAACAGTGCCTGCCTCTGTATCAGCAACGGGACAGAAAATGCCTGGGATCTTTCCCAGAAGACATCTCTGAAATGACTTCAGCTGCCTCCATAGTCCAAGGCTACAGAAATTCTGAATGCCATATCAATTTTTCCATATGATTTAGAAAACTTTGCACTTTGACAGGTATGGAGATGGAATAAAAACAGACTTTCTTCTCCCTCTGAGATATTTTTAAGTACTGGACTGATAAGGACAAAGTCAGTTTAAACATCTTACATGGATTTCTTTCAGTCTCAGGTCCTTAGGATCTTTACTGAGTTAGTTTTGAAACATGAATACTTGTGATGATAACATTCAATCTAATTCGTCAATATTCCATGTAATGAACACATAACTGATCACTGACACTGCTGTAGTACATTTTAGATGATAAAAGTCATGTTGGGAGAAACCTCTTGCAGTTGTGTCCCAAGGCTGGAATTTCAATCTCTCTTTCCTGTGTTGTTTCTGGCAGTATATGATATGGGAGCTTTTGTGTTTATGTAGCTTTTCAATAAAATAATAATTACAAAGATTTTAATATTTTTTCATATTACTCTTCTATCAACTTTCCCCTCTGGTTCATACGGATCAAAACAGAAGAAAAGTATGAAACAGTATTCCTTTCTTTGAAGGCTGCAGTGTGCTTCTGAAACTATCATACTTTGACATGTAAATCTGTCTAAAATTTTTATGTATTTTCAAAATTAGGGTAAGATTCTCATACACTAAATCACACTGCCTAGTCCTTTACTCCAGCAACTATCCCACTTATATATCAGTAGGACCACCTGTGGAACAAACAAAGGTGCTGATAATGATAAAGTTATCAGAAAGTGACCCATACTCCCAGGCAATTAAAATCTAGCTTCAAAATGCAATTTCTAGAAATGCAAGGCAAAAGTGAAACTCCCCCTTTAAGCCCTCTCAAAAATAAGGAACATACTTACCGAGTCCAGTGAGGGAAGCCAGTGCACTGGACTGTGCCAGCTGTTTTGCAGGAGCTTTGTATCACATCAACAACAGGAACAACATGTTAACACAAATAGCCACGATTTCATAGTCATGAGTCTATGGTATTGTTAAATCTACTACTATTGCTGTTCTTTGGAGGGAGAGAAGAAACATTAAAAACGCATCATCCATTTAAAACCACTTCTAGATTTTCTGACCATGAAGATTTAGAATTTAACTTCAAAATAACAGTGAACAGAAAAAACCCACATATATACTCATAAATCACTTTCCAAGTTACAGCACCTGCACATAATTTTCAACTTCAGTAGTTACATACTTAGTTAACTCTGTTATGTTAAAATAATTTGTTCTGTAAGTACAATACATGTTAATAGCAAAAGCAAATTAATTACTAATTGAGGACTCAAAGTTCATCTCTTTTCACTTCTGAACAGCTTTGAGATAAAGATGATAGTAGTAAGGAACAGCTACAACTCAAGAGCCATTGACACAGGCACCATTTTAACTGAAATGAATTACATGAAAAAATGGAATAACTCAAGTAACTCACAATACACTGCACAGGACAACAGTACATGGTTACTGGATTTGAACTCTACCAAGTTGGATGCATTATATTGGAATTGTTCTTGAGTGAGAACTATGGAGGTTAAATGTTCTAAAGACATGCAAATACAGGATTTTCGCAGAAGAAACTAAAAAGAATAAAAACCTCCCAAACCCGGCATACCTTTAGTTGCTTTACGGTGAACATCTTTGGCCACATAATAGATTTCTTCATTTGTGACATCTAAGAGAATCTCTGTCAGCAGCATTTTTGTCAGCATCATCTGAAGAAAATTGCATATAAAATTAAAGTCCAAAACATCTTGAATAAATTCAAATTATATCCATAGAGCTTCACTTCTTTTGATGACTATGAAAGTCATCTCCTGCACATTTTATTTAATAACTTCTTTCAGAAGACATGACTAAAAAACCAAAAAATATTGAAGCTGTTTAAATGTGACCTGATTTCACAACTTTAAAGTTAGTATTATGACTGTGAATTATGTCTGCATGTATTGCACACAGCTCTATCATCTTAGACATTAAGATCAGTGCCCTAGATAACAACTGAATATGTAAATCAGAAATGTACTTAGACTGATTCCAATTATTCTTTCAAAAAAAAAAGAGCACTTTTCTGACAGGTACACTCTCTGTAAAGATCATCAGAGGTTACTTATATAGCATTTTATTATCACATATTTTCTACAAAAATTGAAATGGCAGTAGCTAGTTCTCCAAGTTGCTTATGTCTGACCAAATGCTCTACAAAAATATACTCATCAAATCTAGTAGAATTCAGGGCCTTAATTAACAAGGATTCACAAGTATGAAGATTGTGCAGACACAGTGAAACTGTTGGTGATATAGGATTTAGGGTTGTAGCACTTTGTTGCAAGAATACATTTCTTAAATTCCCTTTCACAGGAAGTGAGGCTGAAGCACAGATTTGAAATGGGTGAAATGTAATCACTAGAAGTTTTCAGAAATTTGATAAGTGAAGCAAAACCACAGAATTAATAAAGATCAATGCAAGGATTACAGTCATTACTCTTTCACTATTGTGCTAAATACGAGTTATATAACTGATATCCTTGTTTCTATGAGAAAGATAGCATTATAAACAGATGCAAATATAACCCTGATTTACTGTACAATGCATATTCTGCCTCTGTTGACAGTATCAGGCATAGAAAAAGTGATTTACTTTGATATGCCTGAAGGGTATGGGCAATTAAACAGAAATACTTAGTAAGAACCACATTATTAATACCATTTGATACTCCTTTTCTTCTTCTGTCATTTCTGGTTCACTTTGCTCCTCTTGAGGAGCTGGGGATGGACTCCTGCTGATTTTCCCAACACTTACAGCTTCTGTGTTTTCAGCATCTTCATCTTCCTCATCACTGTCCTACAAGAACAGCATCATACACTTCAGGAAAAACTTAAATATAAAGCTCCTTAGTTTCTATTTTTAATAGTCTGCTTCATTTACTTTGTACTGAAATCTGTATTACAAGTTATCATAAACTAATTTATTTTCTCCCTTCCTAAAAAATATGTAAATACATGTACCCACAAAAGCTAAGAAAATACTCAGTTGTCAGTTCCCGGCCAGACACATACTTTGGACTACAAAAGATAACTGCTAAAATGAAGGCAATGCAAGGTTTCCTAAACTGGCTCAGTTTAGTAAATACAGGCATATTAATTTTTTTCAGCTGCTGACTTGGAATTCTGACTTTGAAAGGCTCTGTACGTTCCAAAAGGAAAAAAAAGAAAAAAACAAGTCCAATTTCATCCTTGTTTCTTTGCTACTACAGATTAAATTATATACTTCTACATCTTAGCCATCAAAAACTTCAAAATATCAAGTAATTATCAAAAGAGCAGCAGCTTAACCTTATTTTAAACAACAAAACCAATGAGGGAACCAGGAACACAGACTCTCTCCTTTGAACAGACTAAAAATTGATACCTTTCAGGAAATACAAACCTGAGCAAAAAACAAGCTCTTCTACTTACAAATTTACTTCTCTGAGGTAACCGTGGGCCATCCCCTTCTTCTGCCTCCTCACTTTCCTTTTTCTCTTTTTTAGACATCTGTGAACGCTGCTGCTCCATTCTCTCTTTCTCCAATTTTTTCTGTTTTTCTCTTTCCATCTTTTCCAGGCCCTCACGAATCCAGGCAGGCAGAGTTCTACGCTTCACAGCATCTACATAATCAAGGTTTACAGTTTTGCAAGATGAAAAGCCTTCCCCCCCACAAAAAAAGAATAAAAATATCCCCCAAAACAAAGAAGTAGATCCCCCACCCCCATCAAAACAAGTCCTACATCTAATTGTGGGGAAAAAGCATTTATAAGGGCTTTTACTTTCCCTGCTCTTTTATTTCTATGAAAAAGGTCTTCAAATTGTGCAATTCTTTATAAAATACAGCTTTTACATTTTTTCATTAAAGAGTGGTTAACATGTACCAATCTGGGGAGGCTCCTGCTTCACAGGCATCGCAATAGGTGAACGCTGTCGATCTCTGAATGAGGGTCTTTCCCTTCGATTCTGAGTAGGTGCGGGAGGTGCTGGAGGACCTGGTGGCCCTGGTGGTCCTGGCTGCCAATAAGGTGGGTGAAATCCACCTTGAGGTGGACCAAAAGCAGCCCCATGCTGAAAGAGTAATGCAGTTTATTTTTCTTCACGTGGTAACACTAAATGCAGCATGTGAACAAGTTGGTCTACAAAAATCCATGCAAGTAGGAATCCATTATTTCTATGCTACTGAAATCTCTCACTCTCTTTTACTGTGGTCCCCAAAAAACAAGTTTCCTTTAAATATTTAATGACTAAACTTAGACTTAAGCAGAGATACTTAATAAACCTGAAAGGTCTTCAACCAATCTCCTTTCATTTTATGCTAAACATTAAGCTCTATAATCACTATTTCAAACAATTCCATGCCAACTTAGCATCAGAGCGTGCAGCTAAAGAGTGTACAAAACTAAGATTTAAATGTCTAGCTATGTTAGCAGTCTTTTAACTACAGCTTGAGAACAAAAATTTAAAGTTCAGCCCTTTATTACATAAGAATTTTGCACTGTGCACTTTCCAGTAATTTTTAATAGATCTTATTAATATGGCTGATTAAAATATTAAATGCATAAATATGCAATTTTAGTACAGATACAAGGTTTTGGACAATCTATATACAATCCAAAAGTTGTAAGTCTTGAGGCATATATGAGGAGTTTTTTATTTTAATATTTACCATCCAGAAATGCTAAATAAAACTATTTAAGAAGAGTGTTCAGGAAAAAGGGTATAGTATCAAATATTCTACTGAATATTTAAGTGGCTAGCACTAAAGCACTCTCCACTACAATTTCAGGTTAAGCATCTTTCTTTCATTTAATGCAAAATAAGTTTTCTGTAATATTTAGAGAAGCTAATTTTAAGAGTTTGTTCCGTGACAATAAACAAAAATTATAATAAACTCATGTATTGGAAAATTATTGGATTTGGATCTCTATTTAACAATACTATTGAACAAGAGAATTGTAAGAGGAAAAACAATCAAGAAGATAAAGAATAGCCGAGAAGGTAACAAAAATTTTTTGCCCATCTTCCCTTGTATTTGTTTATGAACAGGAGGTAGGTTCTTAGACAGCTAGTTTGTCATTTATAGCAGGAGTTCTGAAAGAAAAATACTGAAAATAGAGTAAAGATACAAAACTTCTTTGTGTTTAAAGGTCTGTGCAATGGACCCTGCTATTATTAGTGATAAACCACCTACATGTTTATTATACTATACAACTTATATGCCAGAATGAAGAAAAAAGTGGATATGGATTTATTTTTTTAGAAACACCATTGTTTATTCAAAGAATCACAGTAGATAGATATGGAAAAGATCACTGGATCATCCAGTCTATCTCCCTGCAACTACAGGACTGTTTCCTGTGGTACATTATCTAGTGTAGTTAAGCATATCTTTCTGAATTTTTTTTTTCCTTCTTTTTTTTTTTTTTTAACACAAAGCTACATAATGTTAATTTATATACTGGAACACAGTGATTCATTTTAATATTGCAGACAACAGCCATTTCTCATTAATACTGCAGAAAAATAAAACCCTTTGGCCTTTGAACAGAACTGAGAACTTTAAAGTATCTTCTGTCAAGTGTTTGGTTAAAATGTATCTTAGCAGATAAAGATTCTGTAGATGTTTGTAGAACTGAAGAATGAAAGTCGCCGCTAGATGATATTAGAGGAACACATCCATGGAAGGGACTCTGCGCGCCTATAATATTAAAGCAACAAATATGTTTCACCTGATAGTCAAACTGGTTCACTGGCCCCATTGCAAAGTTATCAGGAGGTCCCCCAAAGTTGTGATTGTTCTGGTTAAACATATGCCTGTTGTCAGGAGTAAATTCCCCACTGTCCTGACTGTTGCTGTCTTCTGACGGAGGAACAATTTCCATTTGACCTGGGGTTGGAGTCATCCACTGCTGATCTGGAGGTGGGTGAGGGGGTTGGTGAGGCATTCCCCATTCTGTTTAGGAATACAATACAATTCGATAACAAGTTAGTATAATTTATATGAGTCACCAATCACTCAGTGTTCTTGTCTTTATCACAAGGTTCCCCAAAGCATTACAGATGATAAAGCAAGGAAGAATCATCAATCTGCAGACTGTATTATACTGTCTCAATAATTTCTTCAACTAAACAAAAGGAATACAAATAGCTATAGCTGAACTGACACATGCAGTAGGGGGATAGATCTGGACAGGCACAGACATCCTGTAAATTTGTTTTTATATATTTCTAGTGATAGTGAGTTCACCAGAAGACTTACAAATTGCTTAGACTGTTAAAAAACTGCTCCTATTTCTCTACATCAGTTTTGAAAGCAAGGAGCTATTTTACTGTGTCACATAATAGACTTGAAATACCTACTATGGAAAGAAAATGGTGTTGTAAGCAGCACAGTCACTGAAACCTGTACTCCAAAGTCTTGAGTCCTGATAATGGATGATTTCTTGGATTGCCCAATATCTAACACAGGTCCTAGAATAAGCTGTAGTCACAAGCCCTCAAACATACGTTGCAATTGGCTAACAGAGTGAAAAGGGTCTCAGGAATGAATTAACAGCTCATGTGGCCATAATTTTTGACTCCTTAAAAAGACAAAAATTATGTGCACTATACAGATACTCATAGACCGTGAAAGAGCTGCCTTATAACTCTCACCAGTAACAGAATTAGTATCTAGCCTCTCAGGTTAATTCCTATCTTCCATCCAGTCCTTTAGTACATTTTACTAATTTTTACTGTCCTTCCCATCGGCATCATAATTGGATCTATTACTGCAGCAACTAAAAAGTGTTATTATAGTTTTTTTATTTCTGTGAAAATTTCTACTTATTGTACAGAAATACAGCTAGAATACACTCTGCCACATAGAAAACTTTAAAATACTTACATGTGCCTACAATAACTTGTAGGCTAGTGCAGGTAGGTGAAACCTGATGGCTACCTCGCTTTTATTATACACATGTAAGAACTACCAATAACATATTAAGCCTACTTATATTAAATGTTGCATTTCAATAAATTTGGATAGTGACAGTGAAAACTGGGAGTGTTATTCTTTCAACCATTAATAGAATCAAGCATGAAGTGCAGTTTTCCCCAAAACAACTGAAAACAAGCACATAGGCTTACTATCTTGCTTATACACTTCAAATTGCATTACAGTATAATCTGGCTTTCAAAAAACAATTTCATAAAAATTCTTAGCATAAAATAACCCTTTTCTATCCCATTCTTATTACCAGTGGTATCTTGTGAAGTTTTAAAAAGAAAACTAACTTTTGGGAAAAAAATAAAGTTTGGAGGAAGTTAAAAAATACTGAAAATAATCTATACTAACAGAAGCGCCCAATCAACTTGAGCTTACAATGACTGAAAAATGCTGACAATCAGATACCTAAGTTAAAAAGGGTAAATCCTAAGTATATGAAATGCACTTATACCATATTTGTCACACAGAATTTCGCTGATCTTCCTTTTTAAAGATTTTATGACATCTAAAGCCAGCATCAATTTTACTGTGAACTCATTCTATATGTCAAGATCATGCCAGAAGCAGGCATTACACTACAGGAGGCAACAGTAGCCCTCTAAGTAGGAGCTGTGATTAGTAAGTTAACTGGTAGTTTTGCATTTTGAAGCCTGAGGGACAGGGCATGTTCACACCAAAAAATATCTAAAAAGAATAAAATGAAGAAACATGAAAAAAAGGAATGAACTGGAAGGGAAACAAACCTGGCTGCCACATTCTGTTGAAATTGGGATCCCCCTGAAAATTATTATGGTTGTTTGGACCAGATTCTATTCCTGAAATGTCCTGTCCGTTTGGCATCATTCCTTGTTGTTCCACTACATTCTGTTGCCCTGAGGCTTCTCGCTGAGCAATCCATGCTTGAGCTAATGCAGCCCAGTCAATCTGGCCTAAAATAAACAGAGGAAGTTAAAAAGGTTAGAACTCACACGTCTGAAGTTCAGCACTGTTTCTCAATTACATGTCTTATTGCTCAAGATAAATGGGCAACATTTACCTTCAGCAAGTACTGTGAGCACCATTTAAACTTATTCACAGTGTATAGTAAAAGAAACAAAGCAAATGTCAGTGTACAGACTTGCTGAAGTAGTTTCTCTGCATATGTTCAAAATGTCACGAGGCAGATTATTTTACATTCACATTAGCATTTAATGGATGGTAGTAACGCACTTTTTTCATATGCAAGCTATTTTTAACATCAGAAATTAATATATATATCCTTATATTCTAAATTCATGAAGATTTGAGAGTAAAAAAGATACATAGTTAGAAAATGACTCTTCAATGTACCCTCTTTGTATATCCCTTGCCATATATTATGTTACAGTTCTCTCTCCCATTTTTTTTCTTTACTGCCCTTTCTATCAGTAAATAAATAAATTGCAGTCTCAGATAAGAACACTAGTATGTCTTCTGCTTATTATCAAATTAAGAAAACTCTCCAGTGAATTTAACAGAAAATAAAGTAACAGTAAAACCTCTGTGCCTGATCACTTTGCCTTAGTATTAAATACACACCTGCACTTTCATCCATTTATCTATTTCTCTTGATGTTTTGAATTGTTGCTATCTCATTCTCAACTTAAGGTATATTATGTTCTACTCTTTAAAGCACTTGGTGGTTTTGGTGGAGAAAAAAATTTCAAACTAGAGATCATGATTATCACTGCTATAACCTAAATCAAGAACCATTTTAGTTTTCCAGTGAGGTTTTTTTACTGTATATATAATCTGCATTAATACTTCTGCCACACAGGTACTGAATAAAAAAACAGATTCTGTCAAACAATGGATTTAGCTTGGCTAAAGAACTGACAGGGATACATATCTGTTAACAGAGGTCTAAATGTTGATCTGTATGACTGGTAAAATGTTGGTAAATTGTGTAGGATAACTCAGGTTTCTTGCCTGTATTTGCATATTATATTTTAACTATGTGAAAACATTTGGAACCTTTGTATGTTTTCTATGTTTTCTACTTCAGAAAAGCATCATAAATGTATTATCTTGAGAACAGCTACAAAGGCAACTGTGAGTCATACTGTGCTACAAAGATTCAAAAATTCAAATGACAACACATTAAAAGAATTAATCCACAAAGCTTTCTATATACTTACTTGGATCTTGCTGGTGCTGAAATGACTGCATCCACTGCTGTTGGTTCAAAGGCCATTGCTGCCAAGGTTGTCCACCTTGATCCCACATCTTTTAAGTCTTTATACAGTCTATATTTCAACTAAAAATAATAGTTGTATGTTTAAATAGATGCCCATGAAATATCACATAACTGAAACTTACATAACTGCAGATATAGTTAAGCCTTGCAACGCAAGCTGAAGCAATGCTGGCTTAATATTTTAAGCTGGAGGAAATGGTTCATCCTTTGGAGTAATATCTGAAATATTACTGTAAGATTTCAGGAGTCTAGTATGCTTTCTCTGTATTTTCACAAAGAAATTAACTACCAAATGATGTTCAAGGAGAGATATGACAAGTTTGTACAACAAGATCTCATCTGGCAATAAACACAATTTAAAGCAAGTCAAAATATAAGAGGCATGATTGGTATCTTTGCCTGCTTCTTAGGGAAAAGATGTGTATTTCTCCAAACAAGTGTCATGCACGGCTGTTAAGCAAGACAAAGTCACCAAATGGTAAAACACATTGTTAATGATTGCACAGAAAACTGCACAGGTACAAGACAGTGCCCACATGCATGTTATGCATTGTACAGATTCTTTTTAATTTCAATATATATACCTTCAAATCTGAGAAAGAAAAATAAATATGACCATACAATTACCACAGTCCCTTAAAATCATGAGAAACAATTTTTGCTGTGCCGTATAGATCCTCACTGAGCAGGCAGCAGCAGCCCTAGCTCCAGATGTCAGGCAGCAGAGCTCCACAGCCTGCTTACAGTGAAGCTCCAGGGCCAGCTCTGTGTGAATTCGATGAGGCACAGCAGTCCAGGCAGGTGTGCCCACAATGGCACACTAGTTCCTTCCAGTTATTTGTACCTCAGCACACACCTAACCTGCTACACATGGAAGACCTGAGAGCAGCCACCTGCACTGCTCCAAACAGCTTCTCCAAAGACAAAGTCTAGGCACAGTTCTGGGAACGCTTCACTCCAGAAGCAGTTCCCAAAAACCAGTATGGTAGGAATGCACTGAGTGCAACCCCCTTTGCTCTACCCAATCTGTTAAGAACTCAACAGGCTTTCCACTCAATGAATGTATCCTATGGAATTTAACATGCAATCCCTGAGTTGGCGCTATTAAAACATTAAGTAACTGTTTCAAATACTCCAAACCTAAAAGAGAAAAATTCATTCCCTGAGGTCACAGGAGCAGCATACAGGACCCAGTAGTGGCTCACAGCCAAGTGCAATACAGAATAGATGAATAGAGTCTCCCTGCTTCAGAGCAAACCAGTTCAAAGCAGCCAGTGCCACTTGGGTGGCCTGCCAGGAGCAGCCTCAGTGGCTCTGAGGGAGTGGGACACACACACCCCACCCCTCAAGCCCGCTCTCGGCACACGGACCGAGCTACTGGAGTGGAACCTGCTGGCAAAGGCACCTTGTACTCACCCGCTCACACAAGGGATTGCATGACTGCATAGGCAAAGAGCATCACTCTACAAAAGTGCACCACACAAAGAGCTGCACTAAATATCAGGGGCACTGGGCCATGCAGAGATGAACACAAACTTGTATTTTCCATACTTCTGTCAAATGAAATCCTTTATCTGAAAAACTGTAGATCGCCTTGTTTTGAGACTACTTACTGTCAACACTGTACAAAAATTACACCTGTGGCTCTGAAACACTCAGTCTCATTTTGAGAGGGCTTTAAACAAGACCAGATCAACATTGGCAACAGGGGCAAAACCTATCTCTAATACATTATTATTTTCACTATCTTTTCTTGCCAAACTAAGTATGGAGGCTTTTTCCCATTTCATTAACACTTTTATGCTATTCAGACCTTTAATAAGTGAAGACACTGCCCTTTATCTTGTCCCTTTCTTTTCACATTTTTATCTGTACCTAGGAAATTAACTTTTTTATACCAGCTGAGTGTATGGATGGCTACTAATGCACTTAATGCAACATTTTAGCTGACCCCTTAAACTAGCTCTCCAGGTATTCATAGACATGTTTTATACACTAGACATGAGGAAGTAACTGCAAATACTATTTTCACCCTAAAGAAAAAGGTAAGTAAATGCTTCTTATTCCCTCAGTTCATCTTTCCATCCAGAATACAGATTCTTTCAAATGTCAAAATAAATTTGTTTACATATTAAAAGTTATAAGAATTGAGGTTTCAGACTGCCACTGCAGTGCACAGCTTCATGGTGCTGCTCCTTTTGTTTCCAGCTGTTAAGTCCCACTAACAATAATAAACATGGATTTCATTAATTCCGGTAGCATTTCTTTACCTCAATATATATAGTATGTTGCAACAAGTTTGTGGAATTACATTCAAACTCAGCAAAAGGTTTATATTTTTTCACTAATAACTTATAAGACCACTTTGCATATAACTGAACAACAAAAAAAAAATTACACAGTCAAATACCAATTTCTCTCATCAAAGTGTAACAATATTAAGACCACTTGTAAAAATGCAACTAAATTTGAACCTCCTACACAGAGCCTTTATGTGGTAGGATTAGATGAGATTTATTTTTACCGGACTTGTTCTATCTCTGTCCTAAAATCTTCAGTATTACAGATTTTTTTAAACATGTTCCAACTAACATGATTACATATTTACTTTTCAATTGAAATGGACACAGTATTCTGGCCATTTTTTTTTTCTTTACTCTCAGGCCTTGATCCTCACTATGGACAAACTGAAGCACTTGTTTAGATCATTAATAAAGTCTAAGACAACAAATGTCTCCACATCTCAGTAAAACCTGCACTCAAGACAGTAACTGCCTTATTATTTTACAGGGTATTCAAATAAATCTTGTGGGAAAGATATATTGCCTTGCAGCCCTGTACCAAGTGGCATCTGAAACGGTGACCAAGGGATAAAGCAGACAGGCAGCGACCTCAGACAGCAGCAGCATTCATTCACCTCCTGGCTGCTCCATCAGCAAGTTATTATGCCCTAGGACACTGAGGCCAAGTCCACACTCCTACAGGAAGGGGTGCTGAAGGAACCCACTGCCTCCCCATTAGAGAACAGCACTGACCCAGGCCACCTCGCACTCTCTGGGTGTGTGCATGGACCTGGGACCCCACAGGCAGTTAACATGTGTCCAGTCTAATTTGGAAGGTCACAGGCTTTCCCTCAGTGCCAGCTGGCTGCAAAGCCAGAATAAAAAGCACAGTTGGGTTTTAGTTGTTAGCATAGATAGCTGCTGATCCACTGCTCTGCAACATAATATGGCCCAGTCTTCAACTTGCCCTAGAGAGATTATTTCACCTTACTACTTCTATTCTGGGGAGAGAAATCAGGTGGGGAAGTGCAAAGCAATAGGTCAAGGCACAGAGCTGGGTTCTATTTTGATGCGCAACATTATGACAAGACAGCAACAACAGTGTAAAACTCTGAAGAATGTCAACATTTGACTAATTCAATTTATGCCACTCAGAGCAAGCTAATTTAAAATCACTGCTATTTGAAACAGCTAATTTTAGTTTGTGAACTGCACTGCATTTGTACTTCTACAGTTTTCCTGAAGAAATGTTGATTTTCATAGGTTGGTAACTATAAAACATGCTGGCTTTCAAGTACACAAATTTATTACCAAAATCAGTGTAAAAACATTCTTTACAAATCAGAAATATGTACTACAGAAACACTTAAGCAATGACATAACTTTTTTTATGCAATCTTACATGCAGAATCCCTCTTCCAAATATGATGTGAAAACTGTCTCAAACTATTTTTTGTTTATTTCAACATATCTTCCTTATTGAGCAATGTTTGCTTTACAGAAACAGGAATTGGATATGGAAGGAATAAAATTCACACCTGAAAACGTTTATAGAAGTAATCTTAACATATACAGGCTAAAAGAGGAAGTAATGTATCCAAATTTTTAATATTGAAGACTAAAAGTGTTGGCTCAGAGCCATTGAACGGAAGATGTTAGTTCTAGCACCTCTCTCTTTATGGTGACCTGGAACAGCAGGACATCATAATTTTCTGGGAAACAGACTCCCCTGCTTTTTAGTTCTCCATTTAGTTCTGCATTTTCTCCAACTTTTCACCAGCTGGTACAAGGTAAACATGAAAAAGGTACTTGATATTTTTTTTTTTTAATCTACTGCAGGGAGGCTACAGGCATTTAAATATGGTTCATTGTCTTTAAAAACTGTTTTGCTAAGCACTGCAGTGTCTAATAATTCCATCTGCTTTTAAGTTTCAGAGGCAAACCCCAACCTAGTTTTAGCTCTTCATTTGCAGTTGTCAAGTTCTAAAAGGAAACTAAAACAAGCAGTTATGCTGTTTGATGTTACTTTATTTTAAATAAAGGCAATGTAACTTTGTATTCTGCTTGTGAAACTTTATTGAGTATGCAAGGACTTTTCAACAGAATCTCAGGATTGTCCTGTCAGACATCACTGACAGTTTCCTTCCTAGTGATATTTTAAAGGTGTCAAAAATAAAAACAGATCAACTCAAGTCATACAGTAGTGAACAAACCAGATGTGAGAGCTTCCAAAACAACACTTTTGAACCTGAGTCCATAAACAGAAGAGGGCACAAACTACAAAGAAGGCACAAAACACAATGGAGAAAATGTAACCTGTTTGCAGCAATTTTAAAATTACTGCAAGGGATCCACCTCCAATACCAAGGCAGGGGAGGAGGAAACAAACCCAAAATCAACAAACAATGCCTCTCACCCACCAAACCAGTAACTTAAAGGCTTGAAAGACCTGGAACCTCTTGTAGTAACTTATGTGACAAGAAACAACCTGAGATACAAGTAGTAATTAATAATGGAGCAAAGATACTCAAAGTCCTCTCCCACTAACTAAAATCTGCACTGACAAAATTAACTTAGGATGCTGCCACACAAATAATGAACAAGTTTTTATTTCTCACAAGTTCCCAAATATGCATTACCTGAAAGAAAGAGGTTTCACCTAATACAATGGATAGCTCTATTTCCCACCAGTTAACTACTAAGCCCAAATACACAGCTGAGCATCCAAATGACAGTGCAACAAACTTTATTTTCTACAGAAGTTGGAGGGGAAGCAGATGAACACTGGCTAAAATTATCTCAGTTCAAACATTAGCAAGACAGTAACAGAGGGGTACCTCAACTGAGCAGTCATTAAGACATACTGGTTCTGACATCACTACTGCATACAACAGGTTCAAAGAATGGATCAATTTTATAGGCACTTACTTACAAAGGAAAATGCAGATACTACCCCTGTTTTACAATGATGGGTTAAGGCTCTTTTACTTAGCTGTTCTACCCTCCAATTCAATTTGGCATAGCCTTTTTTTCTTTCCCTCTCTCTCTCTCTAGCACACACACACACAAATAAACAAAAGAACATTTATTGGTGCTTCAAGAGCTGTTCCCTGATGTCAGATCACAGAACAGGAACCTGAATCTATTAAAAATCTGTTTACCAATAAAGAAACAGAAGTTAATTCAGGATTCTTTTTGTTTTATATAAAAGCACAATCACATGAGCAAAACACTCACATTTAATTTCAGTTACATGCATTTAAGAGATTATGGAAAGTTGACACGATACCTGAAAATCCTACTGGAGTTCTTAAGAGCAAACATGTTCTGAAATATGTTCTTTCACATGTTGGGTTTTTTCCTTTATAAATTTCTATTCAAAGGCTGGACCAGAATCTGCTGAAGTTTTATTAAAGCAAATTACTGGTACGAAAATGTGCCACCCTTGATAGGACTGCTGGTGATGATAAAAGCTGAGACAGCAACATAGACAGGACTTACCTCGATCACCGTCAACCTCTGAGAGCCAACAGCACTCAAAAACATTTAAATGTGGTGTCAAACTCTCTACCACTGTATTTAAACTAATTTTTCTTTGTGTAAAGATTTTTAAAGGTACCTTTCCACTCCCCTCCCCTCCAAGCATGTCAACTACAAATTACACCTCAATGTTAACCTGTTCTTTTAGGGAAAAAAGGCACCTCCTTCAACATATTTGTTAGATTAATAAGGTATTTTTCAACACAGCTGTATGATGTGTCCAGACACACCACACACTGAAAGGCACACATTTAGAAGGTACTTACCACTGAACAGAGTCTTGAGTGATAACTCACAAGCTCATCTTTAACTCTGTGAGACTCTTCCCAAAAAACACAGCTATCTTGAATGAAAATACTATTTCCACACCAACAGGAATGTACCCTGTCAAGGAGGGCATGGTTTCCTGAGAATTCACCAATAGCACAGTGCTTAGTGAAGGCCCTTGATGACAAAGATGGGGGCATCTTTTAGACAAGGCCACCAACAGAACATGAGCACAAACAGGCTCACTCAGGCACCTTGGACAACCCTACCTAGGCAGTTTTATAATGTAAACTCATAAAATCCATTCCCAGTTCAACAGCACTTGTGCAGAGCTAACTGTGTTCTGCCCTTTAAGGTCTTTCAGGTCTCTTCCAACCTAGTCATTCTGTGAATTCTGTG